ACACACACACACACACACACACACACACACACACACACACGTAAAAGCAGTTCCCTAACTCATGGTAAGTGATTCCAAGGGAGCCCTCTAAGAGCGAGTTCTGGAAGAGCAGTGTCCTCGTGGGAGGGCATGGCTCACGATACCAGAAAGCACAGAGCGTGGGCGGCATCTAGGGTGGCCCCAGGGATCCGAGGCTGGCCTGGCTATGGGAGGCTGGCAGTCAGCCCCTGTGACCAGGCTGAGGGTGTGTCCGTGTGGGCATCATAGCAGCCTGTATTCTTATCTGCAGGAGCCGTGTGTGAGATACCTGCCCGGGCTATACCTGGATATACACGTAAGAGGGGTCTTTCCGCCCAGGGAGTGGCATGGGGGTGCAGAGACTCAGGTCTGAGCCTCCTTTCCTGACTGCATGGTGTGGGGGCAGGGTAAGGTTCTCTTCGGGCGGAAGTGGGCCCCAGCCCCCTTCCCTCCAGCTACCGACATCCCAAGCACCCTCCCCGTGGCCACCCCCAGAATTACTGCGTGCTGGCCAAGCTGCGGGACTTCGTGGCATCGCCCCAGTGTTGGAAAGTGGCCCAGGTGGATGCCTTGAAGGACAAGGTGCGGAAACTGTACACCATCATGAACTCGTTCTGCCGGCGGGTAAGTGGGTGCCACAGAAAAACCCTTTTCCATTGTGATCAGCCAAGATTCCACAAGCTTTTAGGAGAGGAGGGCTGGGAGAAAAGGTGGTTGAAGAGGAGGAGGAGAAATGTTAAGGTGGCGCTTCCAGGTCACGAAGTCCATCCTCAATCATCATCGCCCTTGTTAAATGATGGAGATTCAGTGGTGATCGCAACAAGGTCCCTCCTCCCATGAGCTCCAGACAGAATTAGGGACAACACTCAGGACCACATGACTAGCCCTCCAGGAGAGACTTTGCAAGGAGCCAAGTGCGGTGGGGAGGGACTCAGTCTGAGGGCTATGGAATTCCAAGAAGGGAGAACTCTGAGCCCTGGGGCCAGGGAGACTTCCTGGAGGAGGCAGGGCACAGGTGTGCTCTGTAACAGGACCATCCTGGTAGGAGGAAGAAAACCATTTGCCTTAGAATTGACTCCAACTCATGGTGCCCCCAGGTGTGTCAGAGCAGAACTATGCTCCATTGGGTTTCCAATGGCTGATTTTTCAGAAGTAGGTTGCCAGGCCTTTCTTCCAAGGCACCTCTGGGTGGGCTTGTACCACCAGCCTTTCAGTTAGCAGGCAAGCATGTTAACCATTTGCACCACTGAGGGACTCCCGGGATGAAGGAAGGGGCAGGTAAAAGCGGGAAATCAGCACTGGGAAGATGCAGAAAGCAGAGTCATGTGATTCTAAGGTCACAGGCGTTAGCATCAGTCCGACTGACCTTGCTCGGATCCTTGTCCTCCTGCCTCCAAGCCGGGGGCATCCCTTCTACTCTCTGTGGAGTTCCTCTCATTTGGGACCTGGCTGACAATAACAGTGCCCATCCCATGAGATCGTTGAGAAGATAATAATAACTACACCCCTACTGTGTGCCGGGTGCTGTAGTAACTCCATGTATCCTAAAAACCCTTGCTGGAAGAATTCTTAGCTTCCTGCCTGGGTCAGCCTTTGGGGAACTAATAATTAGCTACTAAGTTACAGTTTATTTGTTCATGCATCAAAGACTGGTTACGCATTTACTCCTCACACTTTCTCCTCATTTCCCTCTCATCTTGGTCTGTGGAAGGTCCCTTGGTCGGGTAAACAGTTTATACTCATCTACTAAAGATTAGCAGTTTCAACCTACTCAGCGGTGCCACAGAAGAAAGGCCTGGTGACCTGCTTCCATAAAGATTAACCCATTGTTGTTGAGTGGATTCCAAATCGCAGCAACCCTATAGGACAGAGTAGATCTGCCCTATAGGGTTTCCAAGGCTGTAAATCTTTACAGAAGCAGACTGCCACATCTTTCTGCCATGGAGCAGCTGGTGGGTTCGAACCACCAACCTTTTTGTTAGCAGCCAAGCACTTAACCACCGTGTCACCAGGGCTCCTTCTGTAAAGATTACAGCCAAGAAAACCCTATGGGGCACAGTTCTCCTCTGTACTACATGGGGTCGCCATAAGTTGGAATTGACTCGATGGCAACAGGTTTGGTTTGGTTTATTTTTTCAGTCTGCGGGGGGAAGCAGGAAGATGATATAATTATAATACACTTTGATAAGTGGTGTCTTTGACTACAATGTTCGAAGGCAAGATCTGGTGCTAGTGGTCATTCTGTCCCCAAAGCCTGACCCAGAGCTGTGGCTCAGTAATTAAGTTTCATTCATTCATTCACTCACTCATTCATCCATCCACCCATCCATCCATCCATCCAGTCAACCAATGTATAGGTGCATTCCATAAATAATAAAACGGCACACAAGACTCTGTGGGAATGCAAAGAAAGGACTGCCTCTCCTTCGAGCATAACACAGAGGAGGACAGTGGAATGGTCTATGAGAATAACCAGGAGTCCTGTACCTGCAACATGGGCTCCACGGCCACCTTCGTAACCCTCCTGTTCATCGCACATGTTTTTCAGGATTTGGTGTTCCTGTCAGATGACTGCAATGCCTTGGAATACCCAATCCCAGTGACCAAAGCCTTGCCAGATCGTCAGATGTAAGAACCCAAGGAGACTGCAGTTATATCACCCGCCCAGACTCAATGCGCTAACGCCAAAGTCCCACATGCCTCTCTATCACTGTAGCATCTCAAACTGTCACGTGTCTTCTGGAAAGCAGGGCCAGTGCTCCTACCCAGGAACCTACTTTGAGCATAGATAGAAGCCTGGCTTCACATTTCCCTTTGTTATGTCCTGCCGGAATGGCTAGATACACAAGCGTGTTTATTTGATCACTAAGAAAATGACTAGCCAGCTTCTCTGTTACGAACAATTAGCTTGAGAACAAGCTAAATAGTATATTGTTGCTTTCAAGGAGTAGTGATACTGTTTCTCTTTCTTGACAGGAACCTGCTTATGTTTATTTAACCGAGTTTCTATTTTATGCCTTCTCCCTCCACAATCTTTCATTACCGTTATCTTTCATTTTTAAAGAAATTGTACCGCTTTTATGCTGTATTTGCAAGAGTCTTACATAGTGCTGACAGGTTCCACGCCTTCATTGAAAGGTGATGGAAATCAAATAAAGAATACCTTTCCAGGAAGAAACTTGAGTCCTGCGGTATCTGTCCAAGGTGGATGTTAGAGTGTTTAGGTCACCGTCTGGCTGAACGTTCCTGCTCTTAGCAGTATACATCTGCCTCTTTCTTTCCACCGAGCTTGGGTGTCTCTAGATCTGCTTCCATCCACCCCGGGTGAATGTTCTTGAAGTATATTCTAATTTATGTCTGGGGACAGACTGGATCTTACGTGGTCCCGGAAGGCAGTGGGGTGCCTGGCACTCAACACAAACACCAGTGCGTTATCTTCTGATAACGAACTTAGACATGGGCATGGTAGGGAGCTGAGGCTCATGGAGGGGAAGTCACTTGCCTCAGGTCATTGGCAGGGAAGTGGGCAGTGGGGGAGGCTCCAAAGCCTACAGGTCGTGGTTGTTAGCTTCTGTCAGTCGATTCCAACTCATGGTGAACCTATGTGTGCAGCGTAGAATTGTGCTTCAGAGGGTTTTCAAGGACGTGACCTTTCGGGAGCACATATCCAGGCCTGGCTTCTGAGGAGCCTCTGTGTGGATTTGAACCATCAACCTTTCTGGGGGTAGTAGAGTGCTTAACCGTTTGCATCCCCCAGGGACTCCCTCTGCAGGTAAACACACGCTTGCTTAATTAGTTTATAAACCCAACAATAAAATCTCAGTTAAGTAATAATTATTAGAAAATATTTCAAATGTTGATTTGGAAAAACAAAAAGAAAAACTCCACTTGGTTTTATCGGTGTCCTTTGGCTTGTTTTACTCCCTTCTGTATACACAGGCTGGAAACCTTGGTGGCGTGGTGGTTAAGAGCTCTGCTGCTAACCGAAAGGTCAGAAGTTCGAATCCACCAGGCGCTCCTTGGAAACCGTACGGGGCAGTTCTACTCTGTCCTACAGGGTCACTGTGAGTCAGAATCGGCTAGACAGCAAGGTTTTTTTTTTTTTGGTATATGCAGTCATCTCAAATGATTCATGGGAATGATGTACCGTGTTTGTGGTTTCTGTGTAGAGGCACAGGATCCCAGAATCACTTTGTCAGGAGATAACGCATTCACAAAGGAAAATCACATAAAGCTGACTCGCTTTTATCACCAACGCCGACAATATCTACCTCTTCCTAAGACATAGTTAAAAAAAAAAAAAAAAGCCACCAGGTTGATTCGAACTTACCTTGACCCCATGTGTGTCAGAGTAGAACTGTGCTCTATAGGGTTTTCAACGGCTGATTTTTTCAGAAGTAGATCACCAGGCCTTTCTTCCAAGGCACCTCTGGGTGGGCTTGAACCTCCAACATTTCAGTTAGCAGCCAAGCGTGTTGACCATTTGTAACACCTAAGGACTCCCTCCTGCGATATGGCCGATACTAAAATATGGAGACATGGTTCTGGTACACGGCACCCACAAGACTGCTTAACCCTCACGAGACCCTGCAGGATGGGTGTGATCAAACCCAATTAACACTTGAGGAAACACACTCAGGTTCAGAAGTAATTTCCCCAGATAGGTAATGAGTGGTGGCAAAGAGACTCCAGGAAAACAGACAAGAGACAATTTCCTGACTCTGCTGATCCTTTGCTATTTCTAGGTAACAAATATAAACTATTAAAGACAAGGACTAATCTGAGCATCTCAGACAAGTATTTATTTGTTTGTTTGTTTCTTCAATATTTATTAAGTGCTTATTATGCCCTTGGTGAATACTGAGATGAAAAGAATTCTTCCTCTTTGGTTAGCAGAGGAGACGTTTGCAAAATCAAGGAGACAGCAGAGGAAGGAGAAAATAATTCTGCCTGGGATGGGGAAGAAGGTTTCTTTGAGGATATGGAACTTGTACAAAGTCTTGAAATATGATCGGGAACTTGTTGAAGTAAGGACAGATGGAGGAATCGGGAATAGGAGGAGGAAAGGGAATGGAAAATGTGACTAACTGTCTCCATGAACAATTGCCACCTTTGCCATGAGACCAGAAGAACAGGATGGTGTCTGTGTACCTTCACTGAACAGTAATTCTTCTATAGAAGAATCCTGATCAAAGGGGGGGAATATGCAGAACCAAATTTAAAATTCTCATGGAATCCAGACTTTCTGGAGTCATGGAGGCTGTGTGAATCCCTGAAATTATTCCCCTGAGATAATCTTTAAATCTTAAGCCAAAAATATCCCCTGAAGTCTTCTTAAAACCAAACAATAATCTGGCTTAACTAGTAAATAATGTCTGCCTTGAGCATTATGCTCTTTTGAGATCTACCTATATGGAATCAGATTGATAACAGCAACTCAAAAGATTAGCTAGAAAACTTAGGGGACAGTGAGTTTATGTTAATGGAAGAAGAACAATTCAGAAAAAGAGGGTAAGAATGGTTGTACAACTTGAAGAATGTGATCAATGTCACTGAATGTACACATGGAGAAATTGTTGAATCACTGTATGTTCTACTGTGTATATTCTCAACAATAACAACAAAATAAAATAAATTTAAAAAAAGAAAGAGATAACACACACACACAAAAGATTTTTGGCTTGAGTTGGTACATCTAAAAAAATAAAGAGTAAAAGAGAGAAAGAAACAAACAAAAAGAATGAACGGAGGCAGGAGACACAACATAGCAAAACACATGGAGACTTCTGATGGAGGCGAATAGTTCAAACATGGGTGTGTGCTTGGGGAGAGCCAGGAAGTGGAGCTGAAAATGTGATGTCATCAGAATATGAACAGTGTTGATAATAGTAGGGGTAGCTGGTCCTCCAAAAGCAGAGTGTCCCTAGCCCTGTACCAGTTGTGTGACCAGAGGCATGCAAAGGAGAACCCTTCCTAGGTACAAACATTGGGACCTGGTGATTGGAGGGGTCAACTCAAGTTTGGACAGACATGATTGTCAATTCCTGAAGGGGTTCCTTTTCTTGGACTTCAACCAAATAAGGACGTTGCTCCTCCCCTGCGTGCTAGTCCATTGCCAAGCTGGATATTGGGGCACCACCCTGGACTCCTCCTTCTTTCTCCATAGCCAACTGGTCAACCCTGTCCTCTCAATATCTCTTAACTTCTCCACTTGCTCTTTATGACCTCAACATTAGTTAACACCTTCTCAGAACATAAAGCTCAGGACTCAATCCTCTGATGGGTCTTAACCCATTGTTAGCTCTTTTGTCTCAAGGGAGAGTGTGCCCATCACTGGTCCTTTTACCCTGAGGTTGCCCCATCAGAATGGGGATTTTTTTCTCTTGGGCTTATTAACTGTTAGAGTCTGTTGGATCCACAGTCAACACCCATGCAAGTAGCCGTCAAGAAGTTAAACAACATATTGCAATATGCGAACCTGCTGTAAAAGACCTCTTTAAAGCATTGAAAAGCAAGATGTCACTTTGAGGACCAAGGTGTGCCTGACCCAAGCCATGGTATTTTCAATCACTTCACATCCATGTGAAAGTTGGACAATGAATACAGGAGACCTAAGAAAAATTCATGCCTTTGAGTTGTGCTGTTGGTGAAAGATATTAAATATACAAGGAAAGTGCTATGGCTGCTTACCTTTTGGTGGTCCTCCAGCCACTCCTTGGAAACCCTATGGGGCAGTTCTACTCTGTCCTATAGGATCGTTATGAGTTGGAACTGACTCGACGGCAACAAGTTTGGGGCAGAAGAACAAACAAATCTGTGTTGGAGGAAGTACAGCCAGAACACTCCTTAGAAGTTAGAACGGTGAGACTTCGTCTCACGTACTTTGGACATGTTATCAGGAGGGACCAGTCCCTGGAGAAAGACATCATGCTTGGTAAGGTGCAGGTCAGCAAAAAAGAAGACCCTCAACGATATGGATTGACACAGTGACTGTGACAATGGGCTCAAATATACAATGATTGTGAGGATGGTGCAGGACCGGGCAGTGTTTCGATCTGTTGTACATGGGGTTTGCTAAGAGTTGGAACTGACTTGATGACACCTAACAACAATAACAACAACGTTGTGTGAGAGCTCCACAATTGAGACACTTGACTCTTATCCCAATGATCCATCCGGGTCTGAGCCCCAACTCCGTCTTAGCTTTTGCTTATTTCCCCAGCAACTGTCAAACCCTTAGACAGACTTAAGTACATAACAAAGGAAACATTTTCCTCTGCGGTTAAACTAAAGACAAGGAAAAAAAATGTTCCTAAAGGAGAGTTTTGACACAAGACCCTTCTCAGAAATCCTCTCAGCAGCCCTCAGGAAGTGTTTCAAGATAATTATCTTATGACCACCCTGTCAAACTCCCCTTAATCATGTATTTAAACTGACCAATCCAAACAGCCCATATTCCCATTTCCAACCAATCACTATAAAGCCCAGGCTTCCCTGATCTTGCAACATCCAATCAGAATGCTGTGCTTTTACCTCACAAACAAGCCTCTGTTACTCCACCATTTTGGAGCATTTGATTTCACTCTGTGAGGTCAGACATATCCCTGGTTTGAACTGTTTTGAACCTT